GGGCGATATGCTGACTCTGTAAACCGCTTAGAGAGGGCTGAAAGCCCTATGAAGCGGTATATAAGTCTAACTGCTATTGCTATTGCTATTGATGGGCGTGGCAGGGGAAGGATAATGTAAAATCCCCATTTCCTGGGGATGTCTGGCCTGCAGCTGTTCCTTTAAGAATCTTTGGCCTGATACTCTCTCTCTGTCTAGCTCTTTCTTTAGTATGCCTTTTCATTAAAGGGAGGGGGGAATAGCAAGTGGTAGAATGTGTTGTTTTCAAAAGGTTATTCTTTGTCTCCGCACCTCAGCACCTGACCGGAACCAGCGGGGTGGAGATGCCAGCGTGGAAGTAGAAGATTGGACCATGTGATGGATTTGTGGGTGTGGGGACAAGATCATGAACTTTCAACTGGGTTTAGGGTAACTTCCCAGGTAACTTCCAGAATTGGGATTCCACAGATGTACCAACATGTCTGTCTTATTAAATTGGAACTTTGATGAAAGTTTTGCCTTGGACTCTAATTTAATTCTGCATGATATTTGGGACGCTGACAAAGGCTACTGCAAACTCCCCATTCCCTCCCCACTCCAAGGGAAGGATACTGCAAACTCCCCATTTCCTCCCAATCAGCTGTGACTCGGGAGGCAGAGAATAAACGGGGACGGGACCAGCCAGAGGTGGTATTTACCGGTTCTCTGAACAACTTTTTGCTATCGGTTTTCCAGAACTGGTCAGAACCTGCTGAATACCACCTCTGAACTGGTTGTTACTGGAGGAAAAAAAGGATATTTGGTCACCTTTTGCATCTTCAAGTTAAGGGAAACATTTTTATAACTTGGAATCTCAGAGTAGGCAATAGAATAGACAGAAGACCAATTTTGGCTGGGCTCTGGACATTCAGCACTGCATAACAAACGAATCATATTCCACCCCCCTCCCCACTAATATTACCTTCTAGCTACCTGGGGACTAGAGGAAATCATATCATGGAGCTTATCTTATGAAGAGGCAGCTCATAAAATTCCAATATGTGGGAATTGAAGGACCGCTTATATGTAATAGGTTGCAGTTTTTCTTTTTCTTTTTTGATTCTGTTTAATCAAGTAAATAAGAGCAATAAATAAAGATTCCAATATAGCCATAATTTGGGTTTATATCAAAGAAATCTAAAGACTTCCGGGGATCTATAGGTCTATTGGGGATTTATAGAATGGTGTGCTCTTAAAGGATAGCCCTCTGAATCATTCTATCTATCTATCTATCTATCTATCTATCTATCTATCTATCTATCTATCTATCTATCTATCTATCTATCTATCTATCTATCTATCTAT